CTGCTGTCATGTCTTCACTGATACGTTGTAATTATTTTGATCCCTTTAATGCCTGATTGGTAGTTTTGGGGATTATTTGTTCATAATAGTTGATTAGTTAAACCTGGGTTTTATTTTATACTGCATATTACACAGTTGTAAATACCAAAGTAGGAAAGTATTGCACTGAGTTGAGGTACAATTAACTTTAAGGGCACCGTTCTGCTGATTTCAGTGCATCTAGTTGTTGGGGAATTCAGATAAATCCTGGTAGAAAAAGATTGCTTATATATGCCTTTGTGTTATAAAATCAATCCTGCAGTTCCACTGCACCTCTTTCTCAGAAAGTACCAGAATTCCAAGACAGGCTTTTATTTAGCATTGCTACTTTAAGAGACTGGAACTCAGCTAACCTGAGATGCTGCAAGGGAAGTTAATCCCTTGTTTTATTTTATTTTATTTTATTTTTTTACTTTTTTAAATTTTATTTTACTGTAAATATTTTAATTGTTATTGTTTTAATGTATTTTGTATTTGATGTTGTAAGCCGCCCCGAGGCCTTGGCAAGGGGCGGCATAGAAATGTTTTAATAAATAAATAAATAATCCCCACCTATTCTTTTCCTAGCAACAGCTGATAAGGCTGCCATGTTAGTTTTCAGGCAGCATTGCAATCACCCTAATTTGCATGATCAATTATTGTAAGATTTACAATAATCTCTGCCTTCCTGAATTGTTGTCAATCTCCTGTAATCAACACTATTGTGTTAAGTCCCCTCTGCAAATCTCTCACATTCTTTCGACTGTGTTCCCCTTATTTCATCAACATCTGCCCTGCTGCTGTGTACACCTGACTCAGAACCTATAAAACACTCTGTATATGTTTTAGAAGCTGGTAGTTGGTTTCAGCCTCTCCTGTTGTTAGTTTACTGCAGGGGGCTGGGCTTGCCTCACCAATAAAACCGCTGACATTCAAGACAATTAAGTCTTCCCTACAAATCCGAATGTTCATTCCTTGTGACTGGAATTCAGGGCTTCTGACATAGGCTAAGTCTGACTAAGGTTCCAACCTGAAATGTGTATTTAATTGTATCAAGAAATGGTAAATAACTGTTTCCAGCCATTTAGAACTGGCGTAGCCTGGTCCCCGGTCAGAACTTGCATATACTTTTAAAAATGCTCTGAAGCATTATGCAAGGCTGTAGCCCCTGTACCTGCATCCTATGAAGCAAATCCTAACAGCATGGAGGAGAGATACTGTAGGGATACTCCTCACTTGCTGCCTTTGTGCCTTGGAAAGGTAGAAGCATTGTATCTGGATGAGAACCCGGCAACACTACCTGGAATGTTTCTGGAATGCACAGAACTTCACTGGAAGTCACAGTAACCTGCAATGGAAGGACTCAGTTGTTTGCTCTCTCGAGAGAGACATTGAAGAGCAATTTGGTACTTTTTGCCATACAATTTCTGTTTGGTGGAAGAGACTGAACCAAACTGACTTTGGAAATTAATGTTGTCTTTATTTGGCTGCTTGTGATATATTTCCATAGTATATGCCTAGCCAATACATTTCTCACATAATTACAAATACACTATCAGTCTTCAGCGTCTTTTCCTCCAAAGGAAATTGATTCAACAATATCTGATATATCTACATGGGTTTTCTTGGAGATCAATTACCTGATAGTCTCCATGGAGATCAGTTAACCAACCAGCTGAGGAATGGAAGGTATGAAAAATATCAGCTGTACCCTGATGGAGAATGTAAACAAATCCAAATGCTGGAGCCGTGACTCCATTCAATGTGTAGGGTTAGTAATTATATCCATGAGCTTCATAGGCTCCGAAGTTCATGTAGATCATTTATCTCAGCCCCTGGTGGCACATCAAGGCTATTCAACTTTCACCAAGCAATAGGTTCCAGCCTAGGTTGGCCAGGTGCATGCAGGTATATAGACTAGCTCAGAGACACTTTTCAGGGAACACAAGGACAAAAGCAGAGATAATTTAAAAATCCATGTCTGTCTCCGCATCTCTTAAAAGAGCTGATTATCCCACACATGAAGGTGCAATGACAGCTGGGAAAACATCAGAGAGATATATTGGGGACAATAAAGATTCCTTTGTTGGCATCTTTAGAGATACAACAAATCTCCATCGAAATAAATTTTAAATACAACTGCAAATTCATATTTTTTCATAAAAAGCAGGGACAATATGATCCATCTGTTCTCTAATCACCCAGCTTCTAGTTGTCATAAAGGCGTGAGTTGCCTGCCATTTGAGTGAGCCAGAGCCTTTAGAAACGCACATAAAAGTCTCAGAGTAGCAGGAGCCCATGCCATTTGTGAGCTAATTAAATCAAGAGAACTACCCATCACAAAATATAGTCTCTGACTCTAGCTGTAAGAGCATTTTGATTGAGGGCTGTATGCTTTAACAGTGGGGACCATAAACAACAGAAAGCTTTCTTCCAGAAATGTCGCTTCGGTGTTCAGATCTTCCGATGCTAACGAAAAGCACAAAGTCAGAGGTGTCGCGCATTACAGATTGCCTGTGTCAGGCTCAGAACCTGAAGCTGTTGCTTGCTAAAGGATGTCTTACTTCTGGTTTTCATTCATCAAGAAATGGCCTCACGCCTGAGCATGCCAGTCTTACATGCTGGATGACAGGAATGATTGCATTAAACCAGACCCCATAAATAATGAATGATCTTCAATTTACTGCTTCTCCTCCCCCTCCCTCCTCTCTTTCCTTCCCTTCTCCTACAGTTGCCGGCAAACCCAGTGCAGAAAGGAAATGCATCTCTGTCAGGCTGTACTGAAACAATTATGTAAGATATCTCAAACTTTCTTTTTGCTGTAGAAGTTGAAATATGACCATGTACGGGTTTGTCCCATCTCTTATTATTATCAAAAGAGTACAGGAAAAGTCCAATGTACTCAGAAAAGGAGCAGCGATGGCTTGGGTTTGTCATACTCTAAAGCCCAGTTGGTTATATAGGACAAATGGTTAGGATCAAAAAGTGCCTTGAAAAATTAAAGATTAAAACACATTAAATAGAGAACTAAACCAAACAATGAAAGAGCATTGGGAATAAGGAACTAATCAACAAAGTGTGGGGTGGGGAAAGATCAAGAGAGAGAGAGAACGCAAGCGCCTGGCAGGGCAAAACTTCTTAATGGCAAAAAGCACCAAGTCCGGTTGGCCTCTATTAACAATGCTGCCAGTGAAGAAACAACAGGCCTAATGCAGAAACAGTAACTTGAAAAGTCATCACGCATTCTGGAGCACCGGGCTATCAGCACCATGCTGAGACCAGGCTACCTACGTCTCCTTGATGCTGCCAAGCACTCCATGTTCCCGAGCAGGGAAGTCCCAAAGTTTTGGACTTCAGCTCCCAGCGTTCCTGACTATTAGTCCTGCTGTCAGGGGCTTCTGGGAATTGAAGTCCAACACATCTGCAGAACTGCTGCCTGCCCACCTTGTGGTGCAGTAGGGCTCACCTTGAGCCAAAATCCAGTGCCCTGGAGCTAAGCTGGGCCAAATAATTACAGAGAGCAGCAGGTGAAAAGGGCATTAAGGCTGCACAAGCAAACTCCATTTTATCCCCGCAGTCATGAGTGTGCTCTGCTGCAAATCAGCTTGAAATGCAAAACTCCACAAGCTCAGAGTATTTCATTTTTACAGGAAATTTAGAACTGGCAGTTTTGTTGCTATCGTACTAAAATATCAGGAATGTAGCAGCAGTTGTAAAACATGGAATGGCCCTTTGGAGACCCATGAAAAATCTCAGCTATGTGTTTCACAAGTGGAGGAACACACACGGCCATCTATGCACCCCACCTTAAGACCATTCACTTCAAAGTCAAAAATTACCTAGACACACACCTGTCCTTACCCTTTTATAGAGTTCAACCAGATGCATGTAAAGTATATTTTACCATTTCTAAAATATTAGAAAACTCTAAGTTTCTGGAGATCTTTCTTCTAAGACCAATAATACCCAGGTTGATGCAACCTTTTTTGCAGTGCCTTTTTTCCCTAAATACTTTGGCCATGATTCAGAATAAATGCTTTGTGTAAACAAGGACAGATTAAGAGACGGTTCATTTGACATATTCTGCTACCTCCCCACTGCAAAGGGATGAACTCCTGTTCACTTTCAAGCAGTGACTCATCTTTCCAGCACTTAAAGCTGCTGCATCAGAAGCACAGGCACCCCAAAAAATGGAGAATAGGTTGCTACACTGCATTTGCAACAGCATCTTCTAGAAGGCTGCCCTGACATGAGGCTTCCCTACATGAGAGGTCTAAGCTGCTGCTTTCCTGAGGCAGCTTCTTCCTTCAAGAGGGAAAATGTGTCCTTTGTACATGATTTTTTTCCCCTGGCATTTTTATTTCTCTGCCTTTCTATATATTCTATGAAACCAACTTAGAGCTGTGGTATAGCAGTTTTCAACTTTTCACAAACCTTCTGCTCCAGTTTAAAATTTAATATTGGACTTTCCTAACTCTTTAACCCCCCCCCCCCTGCAAAATGGCTAGAAAACACAGGAGAGTCCCTGGAGGAGGAGGATGTTGCAAAAAGGCCACACAAGCACCCCAGAATGAGGGACGCACGATGGATGCTGCACGATGAAAGCCTGAGTGCACAATGGGCCGCTGAGACCCCAAGTCTGAACAGCTGCACCGCAATGCAGGACTGGCTCCCTTCTCCTCAACCACTCACTTGCCTGTGGCAACTACTCTGGTCTGGGTTGCCTTCATTTATGTGACCAGAACTTGCCCCATTCGTTTATCTGGACCAGGAAAGTCATGGAAGCCATCAACAGGCCCACGCAAGCTGGAGACGATGGCAAAATGTGAAGATGAAGGCTTGAGTCAGTGAGATAGCAGGCTCCCCCTTGCTGTGCTATGTCACTGCAGCAATTGGCATGTCCAAGCCATGTATCTGCATGGATGCACTGTATCTAAAGGGAAAGAACTACAACCAGCAACTGGAATGGAAAAAAAGCATACCTTGTATCCAGGTTTTCTCCCTCGCTTCTTTGGGATCTTCACAACTGGCAAAGAACCAGCTGGTCCAGAATAAAGGTTATGAACAGCCATTTTCATAGGAGAAGAATGGAGTGGGGGCCTTCCTCTTTTTCTACCTGGTATTCTGGGAGACTGCATGTCAGCAGTGTCCAGTCTTGGAGGCAGTGATGGCAGGTGATTCATCAGTAATGGGGCTGTAATTTTAAAAAGCAAAAGATATATTGTTGAAATCTGGGGAAAGTCCAAACCCAATTTTTTTGTTAATTTGGTCAGGTGCCAGTAATCTCATTTACTATCAACAGGAAGGTATATGGACCGACACTTGCGAGGGAATATGTCTTATTGAACATACCAGGGAATCCTGGTTTTGCAGCCTGCAAGAATGGACACTCAGATCCACAGGGAGCCCTTTATGTTAGGAATCTCAGCAGTTTTATTGGTGAGAACAGCCAGGAACAACCCCCACCCCCCGCAGAGACAAACCTGCAACAGTGCAGTTGGGTAGAGGTGCACAAACCAGCCACAAGTTTCCAGAACATATGCAGAGTGTTTTATAGGTTTCTAGTCACACAGGAACTGATGTTGATGATGAGCAAATAATGGGCACATACCAACAGATAATGTGTTCATGAACAAAACAATGTGAAGAAACTACAGAGGGGACATGACATAGTGGTACAATAAATATAAGTGATTACAGTGTATTTATTTTATTTATTTATTTATTTATTTATTTATTTATTTATTTATTAAAACATTTTTATGCCGCCTGATTCGCCAAAGCCTCGGGGCGGCTTACAACAAAAAATTAAAATAACATTTTAAAATATATACAGTAAAATACAAATATATAATATAAAACATACAATATAAAACAAGCCGCCCTGGCCAAATAAAATTCAATAATATTATTGATATGGCACAGAGAAATGCACATGAATCATAACCCAGAGAGGTCCGCCTGGCGCAGTCGTTATTTGTTTTTTGGCGCCAGGTGAAGACCTTTTTATTTAAACATCATTTTAATTGTTAACAATATTTGCTTATTTATCTGGCCAGGGCGACTTCTTTTACATTGTAATTTTTTTTATATTGTTAATTTTATATTGTTATTTTTGTATTTTATTGTATTTTATTGTGTTGTAAGCCGCCCCGAGGCTTCGGCAAGGGGCGGCATAGAAATGGTTTAATAAATAAATAAATAAATAAATAAATAAATAAATAAATAAATAATAGCAGGGTTTGGGTGTGGGTATTGACTTGCAAGAAAACCAGTCAGGGCTGTTTGCTGCAGCTCAGCAGATCAACAGACCAAAAGCCTCAATGCAGTGAAATGCTAACAATGTAACAAGCTTAACTTTGCAACTAAATGTAGCAGCTCCCTAGAAGAATGGAGAGTCTTGGTCTCTTAAAAAAATAGATTACTAATAAAGCTTCAGGGGAAAAAGTCTGACTGGGAATTCTGGTTCTTTCTGGGCAAGAGGAGCAGGGACCGCAGGTTTGGGGTTTTACCAGAAAGGAACATATAAGCAACCTTTCTGTATAAAGATTTATTTGGATTTCCCCAACAAACATAGTGGAACTTACTTCTGAATAGACTTGTACAGGATTATGCTGTATATATTGTTACTGATAATTGAAATTCAGAAATTCTCACTACTGGGGGCTGTGCGTGCATACAGACTACTTCATGATTATACAAATGGCTAGGTTTGTAAAAAAGGTCTTCACCTGTGCATCCCCCTGAAAGAAATGAATCACCACAATTATACATACCAATATATGTGTACAGAAATGACACACCATTTAGACAGACTATTTAGAAAGACAGGCCATTTCAGCCCAGTGTGGAGGATTGTGCTTGGTGGCCTGCATGCCCACCTGGTCCACCTGCCATTCCGATTTGAACCCTGATGGGCAACAGTTCTTACAGTTCTTTATCTTCAAAGAATTAAAAGATAATTGGAATTGGACAGGACAACCTTTCAAAGAGGGGACACCTATATGTAGAGCAAACTGAGACTCAGGAGCCACACGCAGCTCTTTGAGTTTATTTTGTGGCTCACCGCTCGCTCTCACGGGTAGCTATGGGTGTCCACTTGCCGCCAGCCACCACCCACAGGTGCCCGCTTGCAGCTCTCAAACATCTGACATTTACCAAATATAACTCCTCTGCTGAACAAGTCTGGCTACCCCGATACAGAGGGTGGTGTTCTGACATCCCTTAAGCTGTCAGAGAAGACACATGCCTATCCTAGCAGTTTGAATATTTAGGAAATCAACAAAGCATAATATTTTTAAAGCCCTGTAGACAAATTCCTGGTTTTAATATGCAAAACAATCAGTTCAAACCATGCCACTAGCCCACTAGCTTTTACAAGACTGTAGCAAGGGAGAACTCCATGTCGCCAGACTGCCTTCATTCAGAATGTCTGACCCTGGACCACACTACAGTTCACGACTGAACCATTAACTGAGGAAAAGATTCTGTTTCTCCACTTCATTGCAATATCTCTGTGCTCTTGCTGGAGGAAGATGGTTAAATCCTGCACTAACAACATTAGCATATGCTATATTGTAGAAAATCGTATGGAAAAATCTTAAACCTTAATCCCTGGATTAAGGAGATATCTGTAATGCAGATCGTACAAAGCAATACAGTAATAAATTCTACTTTAAGAGGGGGAGCAGTGCCACTTTGGAAGAGGTAATATTCAGCCACTCCTAAAGAAACAGCCTCAGAAATGGAGAAGATTTATATAACCATTGTTAACATCCCCTTCTTGGGCAAGGTGCTCAAGCGAGTGATGGCTGAGCAATTCCAGGCAATGGAGGACGAAGCTAATTTTCTAGATCCATTTTGATCCAGTTTCTGTCCTGGCTTTGTGAGAAATTGGCTTGGTCATCATGTCGGATTATCTTCGTCAAGAAGGAGACAGGGTTTCTACAGCTCTTGACCATCTCAGTGGCTTCTGATAACATAATTTGTGGTTTCTTTTTAGAGCAATTATCTGAATTGGGAGTAGAAGGCATTTTTTTACATGATTCACTTCCTACTTAGATGGCTGTTTCCTAAGGTGTTGCTGGGAGACTGCTGTTCCATTCATAACAATAATGTAATGGGGTTTCTCAAGACTCAGGTTTATCCAGACCCAAAAGGATCTGGACAGACTATGGAAGTGGGCCAGGGATAACAGAATGGCGTTCAATGCAGATACGTGCAAGGTCTTGCACTTGGGGCATAGAAATGGGCACCATAAGTACAGGTTAGGGGACAAGTGGCTGGAGAACAGCACTTGTGACAAGGATCTTGGGGTGAACATGAGCCAGCAGAATGACATGGCAGCCAAGAAGGTGAACACCACCCTTGGATGCATAGCCAGAAGCATGGCTTCTAGGTCGAGAGAGGTATTACTACCACTCTATGTGATTCTGGTGTGCCTGCAGCTGTGTTCAATTCTGGACCCCTCATTACGAGAGGGATATAGCAAGGTTCTGTTGGTTGGCGGATCGGGTTTCGGAGAGGGTGGATTTGACCTGGTCCTGAATGGTGCAACACTCCCTCTTAGGGATAAGGTCCGCAGCTTAGGAGTACTCCTCGACCCGGAGCTTTCTTTGGAAGCTCAGGTGACAGCGGTGGCGAGGAACACCTTCCTTCAGCTTCGGCTGATTAATCAGCTGCGCCCCTACCTGGAGTACGACTGCCTGGCGATGGTGACACACGCGCTGGTGACTTCCCACCTAGACTTCTGTAATGCGCTTTACGTGGGGCTTCCCCTGAAGACAGTCCGAACACTTCAATTGGTGCAAAATAGAGCTGCCAGGTTGCTGACGGGGACGGGGCGTTATGCTCACATGACTCCAGTCCTCCATCAGCTTCACTGGCTTCCCATTGAAGCCCGGGCCCAATTCAAGGTGTTGGTTATGACCTATAAAGCCCTAAACGGCTTGGGTCCTGGCTACCTGAACGAGCGCTTACGTCCGTATATGCCCGACCGCCCTTTGAGATCTGCGGGAGAGTCCCTTCTCCGGGAACCCTCCATGAAAGAAATTAGGAGAGTAAGTACTCGGAGGAGGGCTTTCTCTGCGGTGGCACCCAACCTATGGAATTCACTCCCCAAAGAGGTCCGCCTGGCACCGTCGTTACTGGTTTTTCGGCGCCAGGTAAAGACCTTTTTATTTAAACATCATTTTAATTGTTAAAACATATGATCTGGCCAGGGCAACTTCTTCTTCCTTCTCTTTCTCCTCCTATATTTTTATTTACTTAATTTATACTGATAATTTTAATCTTATATTTGTAAATCAATGTATTTTTTGTATTTTGTATTTAATGGTAATTTATTATGTGCTATTGTATTTCATTGTATTTTATCGTGTTGTAAGCCGCCCTGAGGTTTCGGCAAGGGGCGGCATAGAAATGTAATAATAATAATAATAATAATAATAATAATAATAATAATAATAATAATAAGGTTGGAATCAGTGCAGTGAAGGGCCACAAGGATGGTGGCTGGTTTGCAGGGTAAGCCATACAAGGAGAGACTGAGGGAGCCGGGTCTTTTCAGCTTGAGAGATGGCAACTCAGAAGAGTCCTGTTAGGGCCATACAGGAGGTGAGGGGGTGCCACGCAGAGGTGGGTCTTGACCTTTTTTCCCCTGCAGTGCAGGGCAGGATGCATTCCAATGGAGTGAAGCCCAGGGAACCAAGTTTTAGAGTGGATGCCAGGAAGTACTTCCTCATGGTTAGGACCCCGAGGGTATGGAATGGGCTTCTGGGGGAGGTGGATGAAGCCCCATTGGTGAGGGTGTTAAAGGATAGGCTGGACATGCACATGGTAGGCAGGTCATGAGTGGAGCCAGGGGTCAGACTAGATGGCCTGGGAGATCCCTTCTGACTCGCTCTGTTTCTATGTTTCTGTCCCCCATCTGATCCAATGTCTATCCTTGCCACTGGGACAGGATTATCCAGGGATATGTCCTGATAGTAGGCTGAAAGTTGCCCTGCTCTACCTCTCTTTCCATATGTATCTGCTCAGATCCTTGGTTATCTTTCAAGGATCTCCTCCAGGAACCCTGACCAAATGAAGTTAGGCCACTACCAGGGAGAGAGCCTTCCCAATTGCAGCGTCTCATTTCTGGAATGCCTTCCTCAGGATGACTTGGCTAGCAGCCTTATTCTTA